TGCATTGTACTGGCTGCCGTAATAGTTTGACGCTTTGAGTTCCACTGCACTAAACTACCAAATACATAAAAGCAGTGTCCGGAGGTGCTTTTCATTTGCTCTCCATCTGAGGCCTTGGGCAGCCAATCGGCATCAGAGAAACCCACTACTGGGCTACTAGGGACATCATTCATTTCCGGAAAGGCAGCGGCCAGGGAACCAATATGACTAATGGCTTTGCTATTCTTACGATACACAAGACTGAGGTCCCTGTGCTCCTTAAGGTATTGAATCATGGCCTGTAAATAAAGTATGTGGATTTTCTTTGGCCCATGCATGCCTTTGCATGCTTTGGACACGATGGTGGAGAGATCAGGCCTGCAGGTGATGGAGAAGTAGATGCAGGATCCCACTATGCTAGCGAAGTTTTCCTTCAGCTGCAGTTGATAGTCCGACAGTTCGTCATCATCTAAACTCGGAGGGTTGTCGATTTCAGATGAAGAGGTTGATTGAGACCAACGATTGCTGCTAGCTAGGAAAGGATACTTCTTAAACAAGTCATCAATCTTGGCCTTGACGTTCATAGAGAGTACACCGTCAATATACGAGATATCCATGCCCAGGAAGGAGTTAATGTTCTCATCCCATTGATGCTCTCCTTTGAATTTCTCTTGGAACAGTTTCCGCAGCTCCGCTATTTTGCTGACGTCAGTCCCCGTCACCAAGATGTCATCAACAAATACGGCACACGCAACCCATTTACCTTCATGGTGATGTATGTAGAGACTGGTATCATTCTTGCTGCGAATGAAGCCAGCTTCTAGTAGAACTGAGTTCAAAAGTTTATTCCATAACATAGGTGCCTGCTTAAGGCCATACAGGGATCTGAGCAATCGGATTCCCAGTTTGGAGTCTGGAAACTTGTCCTGTATGCTTTCTAGCAAGTCAGACCTAATGTCTACACCTTTAGGAAAGGAGATGAAAATTGGTCTATCAAGTTTGGTTTGGATAAAGGCCTGTGCTATGTCGCTATGGTGAATAGGTAGGTTGTGGTGAACAGCCAGTGCCATGAGTGTACGAGATGTAGTTAG